ATGAAATGTAAAAACACTGCTTTTCGAGCATTTTTAAACTTTGAATACGAATTATAGCCAAACGGCTAAAACCACAGTAATATATGAATACTTGCTGGATTCTCCAAACATTCAGCTTTCATATGCATCTATTGGATTCATTCTACGTATTATAGTTTTCGAGAAAATCAATGAAATGTGAAAACACTGCTTTCTCGAGCATTTTTTAAACTTTGAACGCCAATTACAGCCAAACGGATAAATCCACAGTAATATATATAAGGATTTATGTAAAAGTTATCATCAAACTATATTTTTCTTCGAATTCCAAAATGTATTTTATTTACAAAGTTAAGACTGTTTAGATATTAAATAAGAAGCAAGCATAGACCTAACCCGTTTATAAATTATTAAAGCTAAGTTTAAAAACGCTCAGAAATCATCTATATATTATCCAAAATCCATTCGTGATAGAACGGGACGTAAGTGTAGACAGCGGGAATCGGGGAGAATCCGCACTTCTTGTACCCGAAAGACACGGCCCCGAGAAGACTGTATTTCGGTCCGGAATCGCTCTCAGCGACAACCATCAACGGACCCCCGGAATCTCCGGAGCACGAATCCTTTCCGACAATTCCGCCGGCGCAAAACTGGCTTTCCCCGATAGGAGAAATCTTGGCGTAGTACTTTTTGCAAGCATCGTCATCGCTTATAGGGACGTTCAAGTACTGCAGAACCTTCCCGACGTCTTCGGTGAAGATATCCGTGACGCCCCATCCGGCCACAGTTCCTGTGCTATTCGTGTAATCGTGATTTCCGCTTAGAAGACAAATCGGAGTTACCCATTCTGGAATCAAACAAACATTACTTAACTTTGTCCATTGAATATTTTCTATTAATATTTACCGGTCAATTCCGCAGGTTTTTCCAGTATGATAATCGCGATGTCGTTCTGTAACTTTGGATTGTTGTATTTCGGATGGGAAATGACCTTAGAAATTTTGATTTTCTGCATCGGAGCGGCGCACACTTCCTTTTCGCAATCTGGATCCGTGTCCACATCGTGATCACCCAAAATAACGTCATGTCTACAAAACACAAAAGTAAGTAGAAATTGAAGATTTTCAAAAAAATGTCGTCCTCACATTCTAAAATTGGTCATATTGGTGCCTTCGCAATCGACTGGCGGAAGATCCACAACGCAATGAGCGGCCGTGATGATGACTTTTTCATTTATCAACGCTCCTCCGCATCTGTACTCGAAGGTATTCTCGCAGATCTCGTAACTAATCCTGGCCATCCATGGGAATTGTCCTAGAGAAGCCTTCGATCCTCCGATTATCCTATCCGCCATGCTCTCTCCGCAAGTGTCCGTAGGTAATAGTTTGTAATTCTTGTGTTCTTCAAGCACTATCAGCACCATTAAAAAAAAAATCGTTTTTCAAAACATATTCAAAATCATTCGAATACTCACCAAATTCCGAAGCTAATATAATAGGTAGAAACAGAATGAAAACAGATAACATGTTAACCGAGTCCCAAGTGAATCACTAGGACAGAAACAAAACTGAATGAATTTCCCTGACAAGGAGCAAACCTATTTATATTCGTGTTCATTAAACGCACTTTACAATCCAAATTTATCGTTCCATTATTTAAAACTATTTTTTTTTACCTTCCATTGTATTTATCCCAATTAGTATTTCAATGTATAATTAATGCACATTTTGTTGTTTGTTTATTCTTTGTGATTCGCGAAAAGCATATGGTATCGTTTATTGCACGTTACCCTTTCTACCTATTATCAACTTTATGAATTTATATGAGATATTGTGTTCTGAAAATGCGAGCAACGATAACGAGAGAAACATAGAGGAAAAAAACAAAAAGAGAGAAGCAAAAATTAATTTGTTCATTGTTTCTTCAAACCCAATGATTCGTCAACCGAGACGTTTATTCATGTTATTTGTATCGATGTGTTGTTATTCTCGTTTGCATTAATTGAACGATAAACTCATTTCATATTTTCTCATGCATCTCAGATCTGAATTAAACAATGAATACATATTCTCATTGTTTCATTCAGAAAATACATGCAATTATTTATATATGTATATTTAAATATTGACGCACTTGTCTTGTCATTAATATGCTACAATGGAAAGTATCAAAATACTTTCCATTGTAGTACAGTCGATTCCGCTTAATCGGGACGCATCGGGACTAGTACATTTTGTCTCGATTAAGCCGGATTAGATTACATGATTAGTGTAATTTGAACACAAATTGTAACAGCAATTTGTGAATAGTTGCTACATTCCCCAAACATCCAGCATTTAGATGCGTCTCTTGATTCCATTCAATCTATTTTAGCTTTTTAGAAAATCAATAAAATGTGAAGTCACTTCATGTTTAAGCATACTTTTTTTTTTCATTTTTAAGAAAACCAATTTGAATTAATATAATATTTTTTTAATCTAATGAAATATTTCCAATTAGTTGGTTTTGAACAAACTTATAATGGAAAATAATATTTTTTGTTTTCAAGTTAGCTGAATAATATTATTTTATTAATTTTTTAAATTTTTAGATTCGACAATTATTATAGATCCGATACAAATATTTGCTTATTTGTATTGCTGGTTGCATATATTAAATTGAGACAACGATTATTTTTTCTGTCTATACCTGTGATTCCTAACTTGAGGTCCTCGTCGGCCTAAGGAGAATATTAATACTTAACATAAGTAGTGTCCGTTATTCCATATTAAATCAATGAATAGTGAGCATTTTTGAAAGCAAATTAAATCTTTTGGATTCATTCTATGTATTATAGTTTTCGATAAAATCAATGAAATGTGAAAACACTCCTTTTTCGAACATTTTTTCAAATTTGAAAGCAAATTACAGCCAACGGATAAAATCTATGCATTTTTTTTTCTAATTTGAAAGCAAATTACAGCCAATGAAAAACCACAGAATATATGAATACTTTATACATTCCCCAAACATTCAGCTTTCATATGCATCTTTTGGATTCATTCTATGTATTATAGTTTTCGAGAAAATC